TATTATTATTTTATTTTCATTTTTAATTTATTTAAGTAAATAAATTTTTACTAAATACATAAATAAATTTTAAAAATAAATAAATAAATATACAATTATTTTATTTATAATTTTCTATTTATATATTAAAAAAAAATTGAATTTTATTTATTTATTTTATTTTTATTTTTCATTTTTCTATTTTTTTGTTAAAAAAAAAAACCTCAGATATCATGGTGTAACAATAATCCTAATTTAGTTTTTTTTATTTGCTATACTTGTTTAGTTTAAATTGTTTCGTTACTGATTCTCATTAGTTTGTGAATTGTTTTATTTTTATTTTTAAATTTAATTTGTTTAGTTAGTGATGTTATTTTTATTTTTTTTATTCTATTATGTAATGTTCATTTTAATTATTAAGTAGTTTAATTTTTTTTTATTTTATTTTCTTCTCTTCTATTAATTAAAAAAAAAAAAAAAAAGTTTTAGTTTAGGTTATTTATTTCTATACTTTAGTCTCTTTTGTAGTTTAGTTATTTTTGTAATTTAGTTTAGTTTATTTATTTTATAGTTTAGTTAATTTAATTTAATGTCATTTTTATTATTTATTTAATTCTTTCTTTTCTTCAAAAAAAAAAAAAAAAGTGTGGAGTGTGTATATGTTACTCTCTGCCTACCTGGATGTGCACCTAAATTCTGGCAATATTCTCTCATTTCTCTTTGCTTTTCCATTGAGAACAATGTCATATTCAAGTTGGGGGATGAGGGTTATATCTTCTTTTGTGCATTTCTATTTGGCTCATTATTCATGCTTATACCTGTTTTACGTGATTGCATTACTTCACTTGATGTGACTTTTTGCTAGTAGGGTGATGATATTTGCATATGTTTATTGGAGAGCATAGTAGACTTGTATGAAAAGGGTTTATTGGGTAGATACTTGCATGCGATGTTTGCACGAGAAGAGTTGTCTGTGTTTGTGGTTTTAGTACATTTGTCATGAGTATGCCTTAATTCACATGAACACACTATCATAGCGGTGATCTTTTATTATAATCCCTGGTGTACATCATTGATAATAGCTAGAGTTGCAGAAAAGAATAAATGAGGAGCCAAGATTTTAAAAAAAAAAAAAAAAAAAAAAACACTTGACTTGTTTGGGTTCGTAGCCTTTTTAACTCGAGTTATTAAGCCCGTAGGGGTGTCTTTACACCTAATGCCCTAAAACTGTCTGGTTTGGGAGTCATTGGCCCAAAACTTGCTACATGGGTTAATTAGAAAGTTTAAGGGACTTGGACATTGCACAGTTAAGAAAAAATAAGAAGAATGACTTGTTCGGATTCATAACCTTTTCAACTCGATTATTAAGCCCGTAGGGGTGTCTTTACACCTAGTGCCCTAAAACATCTGGTTTGGGAGTTATTGGCCCAATGCTTGTTATATGGGTTGATTAGAAAGCTTAATGGATCAGGACATTGCACAGTCATTTAAAAAAAAAAAAAAAAAAACTTTTGAAAATCATGGCTGCAACAGGTAGTTTTTCTGTATATGTTGGGTGTTATTATGAGTTACACTGGGCTATTATAGTGGATAGTTAACTAATATGGAGATTGCACTTTACACCAAGGGTACTCATGGCTTGTCTACTAGCATGCACAAGTACAGAGAACTTTACTTTTGTATTAATTGAATTGTGGTTTTGAATCAATAGTTCCTTCATGCTTGTCCACTGTGCCTTTAATGACTCATGATGTCGCAATATCACACTGTAGTGGCACATAAGTTGATTGTTAGGTGGAGTAGTGTGGTCATTTGTTATTGAGTATATATGAATATGTTAATGTTTGTGGGTATCATTTCTGGAAACCCTCACGAGACTTTACTCGTCCACTTGGGTAACCTTGTGGTTTAAAGGCTTGTTGCTATTGCTAAATGTAACCATTTTCCCACGAAAGAGGAAATAGATAGATTTTGTTTAATTTTATTTTATTTTACTTGCTTGAGGACTAGCAAGTGGTAGTTAGTTGGGGGATGTGATTAAGGCCGAAATGTACATCATTTGAGGCCGTTAATTAGAATTTTTAACTTCACTTGTTGGTCAAACTATATACTTTATGTGTGTTGAGTGTCAATCAGGTTGTACATCGTCGGAGCATAAAATGGGCAAAAAGACAGAATTTGGACAGAGTTGACTTTTCCCGCACGTGCGTTGACTTTTTCTGGGAAAGTCAAACCGACGTTTTAAACCTGTTTGGACGAAATTGGAAGTATAAAAAGGCAAGTAAAAGGCTGGATTAGGGTTCTGAAGTTGTTTTGACCAAAAGGGAGAGGCTAGGGTTTGGAAAAAGAGGAGGAAACAAAAAGCTTTCAAGGATGTCTCCCATGGTGGTTCCTTCTCCATCTACCTCCTTCCACTCCTCTATGAGTGGCTATCTCCTTTTTCTAGGGTTTTGATGAAACCCTAGCCATGTAATTATTTTGTTTTCTTTTTGATTTTAAATTATGTAAAGGTTTGAACATTTGTATGGTGATTTAGAAGTTTCTTTATTATATTTTTCATTATCTCTTCGAATATTTGACTTTCTGTGATTGTTGAATATTATCCATACATGAGTTTTCTATTTCTTCACATTCAAGGTATGGGACGATCCATGCTACGAGGAACGAGTCGTATCACTACCCTAGTTTAGAGTGAACGATTCGTATTACTTGAGATGGTTCGTGCTCGTACATTGAATGTGATGATTTTCTTGTTAAATGCTGTGAGCTTGTAGTTGCGAAGCATTAATCCGTTCAAACCATAGCATAATTAATTTCAATTGGAAACCCTAATTATGTGGTTAGTGGTGAATTCTCTACCCTAGGATTTTTCCCCCAATTCAGTAAACCCAATTTCATTTATTATTGATAATTTAATTCCTTAGTTTAATTTATTCGTTATTAAATTAGGTTATAAACAACCAATCTTTTTATCAAAATTAATTTAAGAATTTAACAATTAAATTAGTTTAATTTCACAATAGTCCCTGTGGATCGATACCTGGATTTGCCATTATTCTGATTGAATTTGGTATAGTTTAGTGATTATGTTTGGTGTGTTCAACGACCCACCACATCACCACCTCTGCGTACATCAATCTCTGACAAACTCAGGCGATCTCTGCGTTCATGAATAACTGAACCACTTTTCCCAAAACCTCCTAACAACAAATCTCTTCGCCTCTCCGGTAAACCAACAGACTTAGTCCGTGTCAGAATCGGAATGGCCTTCGTTGGAGGGCAATGCCAAACATCAACATTATCATTAGTATATTTTTTAGATAAAACAACAATAGAGGGGGCTCTTATTTGCGAATCTTCTGGCATGTCACTCATAGAATACTTCAGATACCCCTTCATTTTACAATACGTAACCCCCCCTTTTAATATTCGAATTTTCAAGTCGATACTTCACCATCCATGGCACCTGTTTGTCGTTAATTGAACAATAACCATTCCTATAATAGACTAATTCGCATTGACAATCCACTGGGAAAATAAACCACGCCTGCAAACTGTCACTACCGTCTAACCTCCGATCATAAATATTTACTCTGACCAACCCACTAGCATTGGGTGTGCAAATGGGGGAATATTTTATCAATATTTTATCAACCTTAATACTTTTTTGTTTGTATCTTAACCTCAATTGAGAAAATAAATTAGGCAACGCAAGTTCAATACAACTGAAATCACTTGTTGAAACACCTTCAACAACTCCAGTTTTTATATCGTCCACCTCCATTAACCTGAACATTAGAAATAAAATACATAAAATTACAATTCTAAACAGTTTTAAAGTACATTTGACTCCTTAAAGTAATTTTGCATTTCTTTCCACTAACAGTAGCAGCCAATAATTATATGGCACATTTTTGAATACTTCCAACATTTCCCAACTGCGTATCTTTGTAGTCTGTCCAAACATCAACTGGGAAGAACCGGTCTACAACTTCTATCCCGCCCGAGCGAAGGCTGCGTCTGTGTAAAAACGTGAAAGAGATGAATGTACGCTCGAGCGAAGGGTGCGTGGCTCGAGGGAAGCCATTTATGGAAAACACGCGTTTTTGGTTCCTCGCTCGAGCGAGAGAGTCTTCGCTCGAGCGAGCCTCGCAGTTCCAGATTTCTATAAGTACGGATTTCTGTTAGATTTTAGGATTACTTCTTCAAATCTTAGGATTACTTCTCCAGATTTTCTTCTTGGGTTTTAAGGTTTATATCCGGGGATATTTTGCTAGTTTTCTTTGATGTTTTGATTGAGTATTCAACTCATGGTTTAAAGAGTATACATCAAATGATTGTTTTTTTTTGTTCTATACAAAAGAAAGAGTTGTTCTTCGGTGGATTCTGAAGAATTTGAGCCTGAAGCTTTGGTGGATTCTGAAGTGGCTCATCGTCAAGGCAATTCCGAGGTGAAGACGGGATTGGAAGAGACACATAGAGATTGGTTTAATTCGGACGTGGATTCGCTAGGTAATTGAGAGTATACCTGTGTAATTCCTTTATATCTTCTTAGTGGATTGTTTTGTGGCTGTTGCCCGTGGTTTTTTATCACAATTGGAGGTGTCCAATTGTGATTTTTCCACGTAAAATCTTTGTGTCGATTTGTCTTGATTGTTTGATTGGGATTGTTGTTTACTGCTTAAAATTGATACATAATCACAAATCAACATCTAGAGGATTTTTAGATTTTTCAAATGGGATATTACCAACTCAGGATTTCAAGCATATGAATAATCCACCTTTTGATTTGTTTGAAATGGTTTCTTATCGGACTTCATATAGTTGTTTCTGTTCCAGCTTCACCTATATCTTTATACAATATTTACTCTTAGGACAACAAAAGTCTCAACTGTTTTGGCTTGTTAGTCAGTATCTACCTTTTTACAGCAGAAAATTAAACTTACAGTCCACAATTTTGTTTTTGTTGCTCACAAATTGGTGTCACGTGTTTTGACGATGAATATTTTTTAACTTGTAAGGTGAGAAATGAGTTAGCATCCTGTAGAGAAGAATGCAAGGTCCTTCAGGAAAGATTGACATGCTCTGAGGAAAATGTGAAATTGGAAAAGAACTGCAGGTTTGTTTAGCCTTTTTTTTTTTTTTTCAGAAACTTGGTTCATTGGTATAATTTTAGTTATTATACTTCCGAGTGGTGCCAACTTACTGCACTTCTGGCTTTAAATAGCTTCTCAATTATATTTACAAAAACTTTTCTTTTAACATAAATACAAAAGCATCGACTAGGTTCAAAACCCAAAATACTTGAAAAAAAACCTCGGTTCAAGACCCAATGCATATCCCATGAGAAATTCCTGAATTGCCTTGCCCTTATTTTTATCATACTCTCTGCACCATGCTCTGACAGGCTGATAGCATATCAAGTGCACAGAATCTTCAACCTGTATTCCTTTTGGATCAACTTTATACAAATTATTTTTGGTACCAACTCAGAAAACAATAGCCTCATACTATTAATTTTCCTGCAGTATGGAGAAATCCCAGGAGAATGATAGGCTAAGAAATGAGCTTAAAGTTGCTGATGAACAGTGTAAAAAGTCAGTAGAAGTAAGTGCCACTTTGCTATCACTTGTTTATAGAACTTCTTTTTATTGTGACTTGCTTGGTATGCATATTTAGCTAATTCTACCTTCAGGATTTGAAGTCAAAACTACAAATGCTTGCTTCAGAGCATCATCATGCTTGCGTGGAAGTAGAGAAGCTTCAGATGGAGTAAAGTGTGCTCAATGAAGAAAAGGAAGATTTGTTAAACGAAGTCAGAGATTTACATAAGGGATCAGTTCTGATAGATGACTTCCAGGTTTCATCTTGGCTCTATACGAAGTACCAATAGGCTAGAGTTTTTTACACCACCCAGAAAAAAAAAAAAAAAATTGATTTCTACTTGCAAAAGAGGGGAAAACTATTTTGAGGATTCCTGGTACTGCTATGTTTAATTAATTGTGTATTTTCCATTGGCAGATTCTTAAAAACGAGCTTCTTATTATTACAAAGGGATAAGTTAATGGCTCAGATTGAAGAGCAGCAGAGCCCTGAGGTTGAAGTGGATTTGTGTGGGGAAAATTATCATGACAATGTAGGTTTTTGTTCTTATCTCTCTCACCTCAATTTATCTAGGGATAGCAAGTAATATGATGGTTGTTTACTGACAGTTACTGAAGGCAAAGTCTGAGGTGGAGGAGCTGACTGGTCGGCTTTCCAGACTGGAAGCGAAAATGCAGAGTGTAAGTGTCCATGTTACTATTTATTTATCGGTAAAAATTCTGTTTTGCATCTCTTACCTATAGAATAGGTGGTGCATCTTTTACCACCTTCACCACCAGCAATACAACCACTGACACATTAGTTTTTAAGATCGGCACCAGACATATGGAAAACATCTTTTGAAAAAAAATTTCATAAAAAGTTTTCTGCCAAAACAAATGGTACATGACTCCCAAGTGTGGGTTCTGTAGTAGCTTGACTGAACATATGATGTACACTTAGTAGGGATTGATAGCCTATATAATGAGAAGGGGAAAAAATGATCGTCATTGCCATCTAATCAGCCACAAGTTGTGCTTCAAGTATATGCAAACAAACTGAGCTTGGATTTCAACTGTTAATTTCATGATCTTTTTTACTTGGTTTGCTTCTGTATATGTAACGCTTCTTACATAAACAGGGTGAAGTCAGCAACTGTATGGAAAAGGCAAAGTTTAGGATGAGGCTGCGAGGGACACAAGCAAAGTCCAATGCCTTTCGAATTAGATACGAGGAGGTGGTGAAAGAGTTGGATGTCATGAACAGGAAATTTGAAGAGGCTTCCACAAAGCTCAAGGCTCAGTTGGCTTCCTATGCTCTGGAGGTCCTCAACCTTAAGAAGCAACTAGCTGCTGTAAGGAGTCAATAAATGAATCCCACTTTCTTATTTTTATTTTTATTTTTGTGGTCTCCTGTATATTTGTAGGTCAGAATATTTATGGTGATCATGAAATGCATAGTATAGTGACACATGGTAACATGAGGAAGGGGAGGGGTGGCGAGTGGTAGGGAGAGTGGTAATAGTTAGGTTTGCAAATGAATTGAGCTACTTATGAGTTGGCTCGGCTCAGCTCGTTAAAGACATGATTTGGCTCGAATCATTTAGTAAAGGAGCCGAGCTTGAATTCGATTAAGCTCGACTTTCGACTTGTTGATTTTTATTTAAATTATATAATAAATATATTAGTTATATATTAAATAATATAGATATATATATATATAAAATAACATAAACACATTATTTATGTATTAAATGATATAAATAATAATAATAAAAATTTTATCAAGTTGAGTTGAGTCGATCAGAGCAAATGAGCTGAGTTTGAGCTCACCAAAGCTCAGTTTGGCTTGGCTTGTTTGCAGCCTTAGTAATAGTGATAGATGGTGGGGATTGGGTGAAGAGTGGACAAGGTAGACTAAGCATAAAAGGATTTTTATTTTCAAATTTTAAGATCTTTATAGTAATTTTACTTATGACTCATTTGGGAATTTGGTTATTTTAATTGACTTTTTAGTTATTTTAACCTGATTAAAAAAAATTAGGTTTGAGATGATAGTTGATTTGATGATTGTGAGAGAAAAAGTAAAATGATTATGATTTAAATGCAATACTTCATTTTATTAACTATTTTAATTTATTTTGTTTTTATTTGACTATTTTAGCCAAACTCATTTTCCCAAAATTTTTTATTTTTATGTTTTTTATACAATGGAAAATAATACCCAAAACAGAGGACTAGACCTTCTCCCTACCCAACTCCAACATGTCTGCAACTAGCAGCTCCCTAATCTCAGCAGGAGGGTCATTAACAACTAAGATGTCTTCAGATTGAGCAGCTCCCAATTTGGGTAAAGCATCCGCACAGAGATTTCCTTCACGATAAACATGTTGGGTAGTGCACTGGCAGCCATTGAATATGATCCTTGCATCTTCCACCAGACCTCTATAAGGGTGTTTCTCTCCAGGGCCTTCTACAAGTAGTTTCACAACTTCTTGGGCATCAGTTTCCATATTCACTTTATTGAAGCCTTTTTGGGGAATGATTGCTAGGCCTTTATACACCGCCCATAGTTCAGCTTCAAGACTGGTACAACTTTCCATCCTTCCATAGTAGCCGCAGATCCAAGCTCCCTTCTCATCCCGAATGAGACCTCCAAACCCATTGGTCCCTTGCTCCATTTGCTTCCTTCCATGTTCAATTTCAGAGTACCTACAGGAGGGTGAGACCATTTAATTAGTCTAAATGGAGGTCTGGGATTAATAATAGATAAGTTGAAAGTAAGATCAATTTCATTGGAGTAATCAAGAATAAATTTCAAACTCTTAAATTGATTAGATAATTTGTTTTCAAAGACTTTGAGGTTCTTGTTCTTTCAAATTTTTCAAAGTGTGACCAAGAAGACAATGCTCCAAGTAGACTTGGCACCAAATTTAGCCTTCGTTTTGGAGTTAGAGAAGCCAAAGCATCCAATTTTCATCGATCATCTACAAGTACCAATGATGATTTTTGACAACAGTCTAGACTTTCTTAGCTTTGAAACATGCTCTAAATAGATGGTTAAGATACCCAGTTTCACTGCAAAATGGGCAACAAGAATTATCTGAAATCCCTCTTTTCAATCTCACGCTATTGGTCAGGAGTTTGCCATGTAAGATAGTCCAAAAGAAGCCTTTCAGCTTTTGTGAAATTTTCTTTTTCCATAACCACCGCCAATCCTCCTCTTTACCATCATAATTTGAAGCTAGCTTAAAGGCACTAGATGTGGAAAAAGTTGCATTGGGAGCCCCTTTCCAAACTAGAAGATCTAGGTTGGAATTGTATTTAGGAGGTTTCTCTTTAATAATAGAGGCAGCCACAATTGGGGAAAAGATTTGATTAATTAAATTTGCATCCCAATCACCTTCCTCATCAATGATATCCTTAATGGTATAGGAGAATTTGAGGTCATGACTTCCTCAATAGGTTTCTCCCCACATTACCAATCTTTCCAAATGTTAACAGTAGTGCCATTACCAATAGACTATTTAGCACATTTTCTTAAAATGATTCTAGAATGCAGCATTCCTCTCCACACATGAGAGGTTCTGTTATTCTTCTACCAGTTCAGAAAGTGGTTGCCTTTCAAGTACTTAGCTTTTAATACCTCAATCCACATTCCTCCCTCATTGTTAATGAGTTTCCATCCCAATTTAGAAAGTAAAGCTAGATTTTGATCTCTAGCCTTCTTGATGCCAAGGTGTAGCTCGACTTTTCGTGCCCCCATTCGGAAGACGAATAAGCCCTACAGTTCGAACTCTACTTGTGGTTCTTAATCTGATTTCACAAGTGCAATGTGAAACAGTGAAAACACAAAAAGAGTCTAAATTCGGTAATTCTTTTTGGAAAGTCGATGTTTTGAACAAAATGCCAAAAATAGACTGTTTTGCCAGATTTCATAGTCGCCACCTAAATATTTTTGAGAAATTTAGGAAACCCAAGACTCGTGCCAAAGGCTATTAGTCCGTCATCACCAAAGTTGTCTCGGCTCGGGAACTTAGGTACAAGAGGGAAAGGTCATGAATTGAGTACCCCCCTTGCCCGATCAAAGATTGGCCTCTACTAATCATGATGTGATTTTTATTTACATTATATGTTCTTGTTTATTAGACTAACGTACTATGTGTTGCACACAAGTATAGACTAATTTGCAAAAATTGGAACACTTGATTCATGTTTGTTTTGAAAATTGTTTCGAATATGTACCACTTGAAAAAATGATCACATATGAACATTACCCAAATTATTCCAAATTCAAGCAATTAGCCTTCATCCACAGGCATTCAAACAGTTTATCATTTAAACACTTAGCCACATGGTGAACATGCTTTGACATGACAACACTAACATACAAATGCAATATGCTAAAGCGAAATGCTCACCTAGCACTCCAAGCCAAAGAAAGATAAATGAGTTAGAACAATACATGATCCTAACTTATGCAATATGACTAATGCAATACATGCGATATGCAATTACTAAGCTCGGTTACTTAACATGGCATGTGAAACAATTTGATAGCATGCGGTCTAAGCACATTTTCAAGGAAGTATTTAACTAACAATGCAAGTTAGAATGGTGAACCGAGCCTTGGTGCATGCAATACAAGTGGATGCAAACATGGAGAATGCTAAACAAAACATGATGCCCTAATCTAACTATCATAAGTAGGTAAATAAAAGGGAGAAAGACGTGGGGTTGGAAGACATATACATTATTACAACATTGCGCACTCACACAGGAGGGTCCGAATGAATAAGTATAGACGCGCCCGTGGGCCTCACTACAGTTCGGACTCGATTAGTTGTCACGGTTCTAAATCTGAACCAAAGAGTCCAAATCTGACAAATCGTTTTGAGAAACAGATTTTGAAAAAGTAGTGCAAAACATGGACTGCTTTGCCAGATACAGAGTCGCCACTTAAATATTTTAAAATGGGGAAATTTAGGAAACCCTGACTCGGTGCCGAAGGCCACATGTCCGTCATCACCGGAGTTGTCTCGGCTCGGGAGCTAGGGTACGATCGGGGAAGGTCAGCTATGAGCACCCCCTCTCGCCCGGTCTGAAGACCGGTCTCTACTAACCGTGATATCCAATTTTGAAAACGTTATGTGTTCTTATTCCAGTTATTAGTCTAGAATTACTATGTTATGCGCACAGCACACAAGTATAGACTAGATTGCCTAATTTGGAAACAAGCATTGCATATCCGTTTTGTTTCGAAAAATGTTTTGAAATTTGCTACTCGTAAGTAGGCTAAAACACGGATTTCAACGAGTTTTTTCCAACTCGGGCAATCCAACCTTCACCCACAGGCATTCAAACAGTTTATCTCACATAAGCACTTAGCCACATGGTAAGCATACTATCATGGCAGCATTCACACGCATGTGGTATGCTAAAGCATAAATACTTACATCGTACTCCATGCCAAAACAACAAACTAGTTAGCAAAAATGCGTGTCCTAGTTCATGTTAAAAATGGCTAATGCAACACATGCAATAATGCAATCTAGATAGGCTCGGCTAACCTAAACATGGCATGTGAAATGCGATCAACTACCACGTATTCAGTTTTGAATTTGAAGTACAAATGCAGTTAGCGTGGTGTACCGAGCCTGATGCATGCAATACAAATGCATGAATGCACGCATGCATAGCATAAGGTATGCTAATAAAAAAAATGTCCTAGTCTACCATCATAAGCAGGTAAATAAAAGGGAAGAAAGACGTGAGGTTGGAAGACATACACACACTCACGCACACTTATTACATCATTGCCCTCACTCGGAGGGAGACAGTATGGCATGGGATTTCAGGCATATGTAAGCATGGTCATGCTTCCTTTCATGCTTTAAACTCAAGGAAGCATGGCCCTCGATCCTCGAGCCATCAATGGTGCATGATAGCCCAAGGGATCAAATTTGCCACTTGATGTAAAGATGCATGCAACAAACAAAATGAGAACCAAAGCCTTATCAAATCGGAGTCAAAGGCCTCGGTGACCGAGAATCAAGGCACATTACATCACTTGAAGTATGAATGTCCCTTGATCCCCACATTTGGCTTGACACCCCAAACCAAATAATGCAATGCATGTTATGCAAACATGGCTTAAAATGCGACATGATACCAAGATGCAAGGCATGCCAAGTGTGGTGCAACTAGTATGGCAAGCATGCAATGTTAGGCATACGAGATGCAAATGTAGTGCAAACATGGGCCATTTAGGCAATGGGATCGACATGTTACAACACTTAATGAAGCAATTATGCAACAAACATGAGATAAGCATGCAAGGGTGACCATAAACCACAAAGGGGCAGACCTCAAACCATCTTAAAACAGTGGCCAAAAGTGCCTAAAATGGTGGACAAACTCTCATGCCAACATGCAAGCCAATGGTCTCAAAACTAAGGCACAAGAAAGGAGGTACCTCACTCCCATAACATGACCAATCATAGCATGATTTAGACAAGTAAGAAACAGAATTTTTACAGGCAAAATAGGGCTCCAAACCCTCCTAATATGGCAGCTAAGATGGCTCCAAAGGGGTGTATGCACTAAGGTTCATGTGTAGGCATAAGAGGGCACGCCTTCAAGGCACAAAAGAGGTCACAAATGCACACATATGAGCATGATTTATGGACTGAAATATGGTCCTAAATGATGCCAAAACATGAGGATGGTCCAAACTATGCATGCTAGAGGTCAACATACTCAAAGGTTACAAGCCAAAACACAAAGAGATGACATCAAACAAGGCGAACATGGTTGAAATAGATGACCAACAGATTTCAAACATGATAAAATAATACCAAAACTTTCATGGAACCATGCCAATATATGCAAGAATCATGGCCTAAGCACAAGGGACATTTCTAGGCCAAATGGAGCAATACAAAGCAAGTACTTTAAGCATGGAAAGAGACATAAATCCGGCCAAAAACAGAGGTCACACATGACCTAAAACACCCAAAAAGCTTCTGAAATGAGGCCAAAAATGATCAAGCATACACGCTACCCTTTTAAGCCAAAAAGCAAGGAAACAAGACAATGAAGGGAGAGGGGTTCCCTCCCCTATGCAAGACTTCAAACCACCTTTCTTACCACTAAAAATACACTGGTTTTCAGTGGTGAAGAGATCAAAACACTGAAGTAAACAAAGCCCTACCAAAGAGGCAACAAAAGGGGCCAAATAAGGCCTAACAAGGTGAGTTTGCACTCAAACTACAAGACAACCTTAATGAAAGTTCTAAAGCATGAAAATATAAGCCTTTTTCATGTTATGCACAAAAGCTAAATCAGCAAGCAAGATAGGTAAAAAAACTATTGCAAGTTTGGGGAAAATAAAGCAAGATGCTCACCCTTGAAGAACCTTTGAAGAACAAATGGTCTAGCCCTCTTCTTTTGATCAAAATCAGTCCAAAAACTCAAGAATTAACCCCCCAAGTCCCTCAAACTCGGAGCAAGGTGTAATAGTGTGTGTAATGGTGCAAAAGTAAGGTAAAATCACACTTTTGGGTCAAATAACACACACAAAGGAGGAGGGGGAGGGAGATAT